TATATATACATACATACATTACATACATATATATATATATACCGGTTTCCTATCGGACCGGTATACCGCCCATACCGGGCGATGTCATTCGAAACTGTATACCTTGCAACCCATATCAAACTGAACTGAGCTATTTGTATCTACCTGTTGATTGTCGGATTAGTAAATATTTGTATCAATAGGAATTGATATTTGAATCCTTCTTCCAGGCATACTGCCTGAAACATCTCAATCTGAGGTTGTTCTGTATCGTGGTTAAAGGGCCTTAAACAAGTTGCAAGATAAACTTTAGTAAGCATGTTAAGCCTAAATCAATGGATAGACCAGTTCGGGCACAGTTCTTTTAATCAGATCTAGTTCTACTAACAACTGAGCTATTTGTATCTACCTGTTGATTGTCGGATTAGTAAATATTTGTATCAAACTATCAATAGGAATTGATATTTGAATCCTTATTCCAGGCATACTGCCTGAAACATCTCAAGCTGAGGTTGTTCTGTGTCGTGGTTAAAGGGCCTTAAACAGGTTGCAAGATAAACTTTAGTAAGCATGTTAAGCCTAAATCAATGGATAGACCAGTTCGGGTACAGTTCTTTTAATCAGATCTAGTTCTACTATCATGATTAATAAAAATAAATTAAAACTAAAATAACACATCAAACTTGCATTCATTTAAAGTACCAAACTACATTGTCTATATCCAATAGCAAAAATGACAAAGTAAAACAAAATTAACATCAAAGATCATTAAAATCCAGTTCATCATTTTCAATCTTGTTACCATCTTCCTCTTCTTCCTCTGTAGATGATTTATATTCCTCTTCTTCCTCTTTTCCACCTCTTCTATAATAATCGACATTTTACTGATTCACTACAACAAAGAAGGCAGCTGCTGTTCTTGTAAAACCAACTGCTATTTCCTCTAAAAGCTTTCCACCTAATCAACAATAAGTAACAAACACTCATTGCATGCACTGTAGGTTCTTGTAAAACCAAATTCCAAACTGATTACCCCAAAACTCAAGCATAAAAACATCCAAAGAAACAATTCCTAAAATCTGCAAATTTGACACAGAGGGAAGAGCAAGGAACGTAGGATGGTAGGGGAGCAGCGGTGAACGGGGAAGCGGGGAAGAGGGGGAAGAGTGAAGAGGGAAGAGAGAAGAACGATTGGAGAAGAGGGGGGGGAGACGGGGGGTTGCGGTGACACCATGCGAGGGCTGCAGGAAGGGGTGAAAAGGGAACATAGGAGGGCTAAAGAGGGAAGAGGGAAGAGAGAGGAGCAATTGGAGAAGAGGGGGGGAGACAGGCGGTTGCGGTGACACCATATTAGGGTTGCGGTGGAGGGGAGAGGGGAGAGGGAAGAGGGAAGAGAAGGTTGCGGATTGTTGTCACGGACAAAACTGGAAGCAGGGTGTTCGATTCAGTTTTGTTCATGCTTTGCACAACACGTAGAGGGCTTGCGGTAGGTTTGGCAACTCCATTTTGGTTGGCTTTTGCGACTGGTTTAATTTTGTAAACGCAGGTTGTGTGCAGTTGTCGCGCAGAGGCAAAACTGCTTGGAAACAAGCCATCCACGCAGCCATTTTGGTGTTTCTTTAACTCCGCAGAGTGGTGTTGAGTGTCAGGTAGTACAACACTCAGAAGCTACCCAGGTGGTACATGGTTGGATGGGCCTTTAAGATAGTGTTTTGGGCTGATTCGTTGTCTTGTTCAGTAGCAATGTCATGTGAGCACTTGTGGGGACTTTTGGTTGTAACAGACCACCTTAGACCCTTTGTTGTACGATCGTTCAGAGTTTGTAAAGTCTATGTTTGTAATTTGTATTGCCTATTAAGTGTTTGTTGAAATGACTGCTTATGGGATCCTGAGTTAAACGCTTCCTCTAACTCGTCTTCTCTTTTGCAGGTCCTTAAGGGACCATAAGAGGTTTTGAGGAGGCTAACCTTTTGCAGATGGACATGCAAGCGTGTCGCACGACATACGCAAAACTAGCTAAGTCTGTGACATATGATATCCATACGGGACAAGCACACTTAGAAACACTTGATATACAATCGTGGGAGACCTAGCAAGGCTGCATTGGGGGCAGCCAACACCAACGATCGTTTGAGGGAAACGAGCGTTGAGACATAGGGAAAGGAGTCACTCAGAAGAGTGGGCATCCGAGATTGATATTCAAAGTAATGACCGACTCTTTATGCGAGAGGCACCATGAGGATAAGCGAGTTGGGAAGAATGTGTAATACACAAAGGTTGGGATGATTGAGTTCGAATTACAGCTCAACGTTGGCAACCAAACTTGATGGTGCTCAGGGTAAGCGGGGCGCTTGGTAAAGGATGAGACTGTGCAAGGAGGGATGGG